GTTTGCCTCAGAAGCGCACCCTGTCATTCTGACCGCTGGAGAATCTGAGGCCAGGAGTGTCATTCCATTGGCATTTGAGCCCATCAAGGGCCACACAGCCTCCTCATTTGGGCTGTCCCCTGAGGACATTACTCAGCAAGTCTTCAGCTCCACCCACTCTCCTTGGGAAGGGACAGCTCATGGAGTAACCGTTCCTGCCTGCCTCCGTCCTTTTTATTTTTTTCCTCTGTCTGGAATTTCCCTAGAGGCACCTGCCCTTTCACCGTTGTCCCCACATCAGTGTCCCCAGGGAGCTTGCCTTTGCATCTCCGGAAGACCTCCCATAAACCTCAGCTATGGATGGGGGTGCAACGCGCCTGAGCCAGTAATGCAGGCTGTGCTGAGGCCCTGTGTAGGGTCAGGGCCATGGTGACAGCATCCCTCCCTCTCTAGAGCTGAGATCAATGCCCACCTTCCCTACCATGGAAGCAGCCCACCCACTCCATCTGGACTCCTGAAACAGAGCCAAAGGATTCCCCAAAGAAGGTTCTCTTGACCTGGGGTCTGGACTCGCTGGATTCCAGAGCCATCTTCTGAGGAACCTCATCTAGCCCTTACCTGTACATTTGACAGCCTACCCGGTGGTCCTTCCTTTGAGGAATCTCAGGTGTGTAGCAAAAGGGCCACTGACATTGGTCAATTACTGACATTTCTCTGAAGATCCAGTGGTCGTGTGGGAGTCTTCTAGAATGTGTAGGCTACAGAGGAACCCTTGGCTTCAGGGCAGGGCAGTAGTACCAAGAGGAATTTAGAATCTTCAAGCAAAGACGGCTGAGAGACTACAGCCCATTTACCTCCAAGAGAAAGGAAACAGACTTCCAGCTCCTGGTCCCTCTGAGTCATTCCTGGGTGTTAAGGATTGCAGTAAAAGGGGAAGGGGATGGGGAAACTGGGAATAAGATTATGTACCCTTGGGATGCAAGCCTGAGTCTCAGACTCATTGCAGAGAAGCAGCTCCCAAAGCGGTTTCTCTGGGTGTAAGTTGATGCAGGAAGCAAAGCTGAGGTTTCTCCCCTGCAGCCTCCCAGAGGCTGAAGCAGCACCCCGCCTGCTCCCTCACACCCTGCCTTTCCCTGAATCCCAATCCCAGGAAGCAGTGCTGGCACGGGACACAGACCACTGACTCATCAGTGGCGGCGGCAGTCTCCGTAAAGGCGCTCACAGCAACCACATGTGTGTGTCCCTTGCGTCCTGTTCACTTCTCCAGCCAGTGGGCTTCCCTCCAGCTTCGGGAGGATGACTACTAGGGCCAGGCCAGAACTATTGCCCCACAGGACCCAGTTGCCCAGGGCGCTCATCACAGAATTCTTCTGCAATGTGGTGGACACTGTGTGCACCAACTGGTACCTCCCACTGTTCTCCGTGCCTCTATCCTGAAGCACAGTCACATTGCCTCCCCCCCCCCATCCCTAAAATAGCCTTGTGTTTTGGTCCTAGCAGAACTGGAACTTCAGCAACCTTCCTTCCTCACCCTCTCGAGCATGTGCCACCATGCTCAGGTTGCTTATGCTTTCACTGGTTCCCTTGCCCTGGCATGGAGCCCATGTTCTGCAGTCGTCTGTATCCAAATGGTTGGGGTGTGATCTAGTCCTTCCCTGCATTTTTTTCTGCCCTGTGCCCAGAATATTCATCAGGATCTGAATGCACTCAGTCCTTGCCCAGTTCTATCTGCACTCCCATAATGCACTACACACACTCCTGCTCTCTAGGATGCTTCCTCTAGGCTCTCCCTGACCTTCTAGCAAGTCATGTCATTTCCCATGACTCCTCAAAGGGCAAGGCCACTCTTGGGAAGGTGGGACACCTACACCCCACCATTATTTCAAGGACCTGGCAGACCTTCCACTGTAAGATTGAGGCAAGCCCCTGGGCCAGCCGTTGGTGGCCTGAGTATGAAGTGGCGGAGACAAGGCTGTTGAAGCATGAAAACTACGTGACTATAGGACATATATATCCCTGGAGTTTGAACTCCACCTCCACCCCATGAAAAGGGCAGGAAGTATTCTGATTTCGCTGCAGTTTTTAACCAACCTCTCCCTCCTTCCCTGGGGTCACAAAGGAGAAGGCTCCTGGAGATTACCCTGCTAAAGAGACTGATTCTAGGCCCTCCCTTAGGACACTCCAGCCACCCCCATCTTTTCCCTGCTCCTCTTTCAAGATCAGGAAGGAGTTTCAGGCAAAGGCAGGGGACGAATTTCCTGGATTCTTATGGCTGGGACTTATGACTGGCTCTCGAACCTCTGTAATTAAGAGGTTAAAAGAAGTCTAATGGTCCCTAGGGCCAAAAAGGGAGAAAATGGCCCAAATGCTGGGAAGCACAGTTGGTAAAGTGGGTTCTTTGGTTCCATTTGGCTCCTGACACTGGCCTTGAGGAGGCCTTCTCCCAGAATCTTGGTCTTCACATCTGTAAACCATGCTGATAATGATGTCCCCTAAATGCTCAGCACACAGCTAGGGAGAGAGGTGTTCAGTGAAAGCCACTTTCTCCTCCTCCTCCTCCTCTTCCTCCTTCTTCTATTCCTCCTCCTCAGTGTGGAAGACCAGGGCCAGTTTGCCTCCTCAGGCTGCAGCCATCAAGGCTGTGTGGTAAGATGACCCCACATAACTTCCTTGGGAGGGCTATAGCAGAAGTCATTGGGTTCCTAGGCTGACCTGATCCCCCTCAACCTCTGTGCCTACCATCAGCCAGAGAAGAAGAAAGACAGCTCACCATGGCCAACCTGAGAGTATCTGCCACAGACACCCAGGCTTCTGACCTTTGACCTCTGCCCTCCTGCCCTTGGTGATCCTTGGAGTCCAGAATCTGGTGTCTTTCTCTTCTGAATACTCCTGTCTGCTTCATTTCCTTCCGTCTAGTGAGGCTGCAGCTCTTGAGGTGGTCTGGGGTGACCAAGGCTACAGTGGCTCAGTGCCCCTGTGTTCTGGACTCGCTTGCAAAGGACAAAGTGTCCCCTAACAGTTTGGGTTCCTAAAACCATAGTCTAAGCAGGAACACTGGGGAGGGATTTGTCTTCAAACTGAGCTGTGGCTCACTGTCCGCTCCCATGGGCCTTGCTGCTGAGGGAGGGTGGTAGGGGGAAGACAAGGCTTAACCCACAGCAGTTCTATGCCTGAGGCTTGCTCTTGACCTAAAACTATCCCAAAAACGAACTCAATTCTGCTGCGCCACAGCAATGAGGTCTGCAGATCGAAGGCACATCTATCAATCCCTGTAGGGTGCTGTGGCCAGGCCTCAAGCCCTGTAATCAGAACAACATGGGTCACGGTGCCCAGGCAGAGGTCACAGGGCAAGGACATCACCAAGAGCTTTTGCCCAAAAGGCAGAACGATATTATCTTTTCATAACACACTCAGGCTTGCTGGGCTTCTGGCCAGGATACACCCAGCTCTCAGCCTCCTCCACAGGCCTGGAAGATTCCCTCACTGCCCTCCTCTGCCTTGACCCTCTCCGGTGAAAGACAGCTTTGGGGATACCAGCACACAAGGATGGCGGCAGGAGTCTCAGGCAGGGCTGAAGCTGGAGTTCTCCTCTCTGGGGACAGTTAAGGTGGGTGAAGACCTCTGACCTCCCCAGGGGGTCTCCACTCAGGCTCATGGAGACCTGGCTGGCGCTGGGGTTGGAAGCTGAAGCCATCCTGGCTCTCAGGAGACCCACCCAGACCTACTCATTCTGACCATTTGTAGGCAGAATCAGACCACACTCAGAAGTCTGGAATACCCCAATGTACAAGATAGTGGAGAGGGCGGGCTCTCTGGAGGATGGAGAGCAGACCCTTCACAGCACGCGGGATGTTCATTTTAGTTTGCTATTTTTGCTGTGGGTTGGGGGTAGGGTTGAGGAGGAGGTAACAGCAAGAGCCTGTCAGACCAGAGTTGTCCACTGGCAGCCAGCGGACTGCCTGGCTTCCGCTGACAGGTTTCCCTTCCTCTCTGAAGGCTCCCAGCACCCGCCTGTCTGAACCCAGGGGCTAGGGCCCTCAGTGGTAAGCCCTCTGCGGCCAAAGAGGAACTTTCCACAGTGAACCCCTCTCTGGGAGAAGCGTATGGTTTTTAACCCTCCTTCACTGACAAGGCCAGGGAGCTGGCAGAGCTGGAGTTCACCTCCCTGTGCAGAGGAAACTCAGCACACCGCCTTTCCTGTGTTCTTGGGACAAGCTCCAAGCGGCTTTCCCCTCAGGACTCGTTTCACCATGCCAACCTGCAAAGGCAGAGAGAGCAGGTGTCCTTCACCCAGGGTGTTGAAGGTGCTCTCCTCCCTATGCTGTACCTTGTCTCTAGGGAAAGGAAAAGGGCTCTCTGGATACCTCATGTCTTAACACCCAGGCTAAGGCTACATAACTACTGATCTTGCCTACCTGTGATGGGTGGCCCTAGGCTTTCAGGCTTGGGGACTTCATTATCTGTTCCCCCGACACAGCCTGAAGTGCAGACATGAAGAATCCTTCTGCAGCTCATTCAGACAGACTTGGAAAGGCCTGACAAGAACAGGAGGAGGGACTGAGGCTGGACATATGCTTCTCGGGGAACTTTCTAGGCTCCCACAACCTTGATCACAAGATTGCTGTGGGGCCCAGGCACTAACTAAGCTAGGTACCTAGTACCTGACTTTGGATAGAGAAAAAGCTTCCCCCCGTACCTGCTACAAGAACACAGACCCTGGAGCCCTACAGGCTGGGTTCAAATCCCAGCTCAGCTACTTGGCAGCCTCAAGTATTTATGAAATGAAAGTACTAGCCAGGCACAGTAGTTCACTCCTGTAAACTCCGCACTCAGGAGACTGAAGCAGGAGGATCACAAATTTGGGGGCAGCCTGGGCTATATGCCAAGCTTGAAGCCAGCCTGGGCTATAGAGTGCCTTAACTCAAAATATCAAAAAGTAAAGGTAGTAATATAGTATCTACCCTATGGTTGTAATAAGTGCATATGTTCATACACAAAACTACTTATGACAGTCCCTGACATAAAAGATATTTATGTAACTGACTTATTTCTATTTAAGAATTGTTTTGTATTACCCAAGAGACTATGAATATCAGGGCAGGCAAAAATCTCACTTCCTCAAGGAAGGTCTGTGAGAGATGTCAAGATAGCTGTGCAAGGGACTGTCATTCTTCACACAGGTGGCTCACCAAGGTAGAAATAACCATTAATAGCAATTTCCCCTGCAGCCAGGCACAAACCTATATACAGAGCCTGAGGGAGTGACACGTTTTACTACTGCTGAAGAGGGAAATTCAACTCCTGGGCAGATTCCAGTTTTAGAACGGAGAGAGTCACTCTGAGCGGAGGCAGGGCATTTTCTGGCCTTTGTTTTGTTTTGTTTTTAAATACCCTCCAGCCTTCTAACAATCTTCGCATGCATGCCCCATCGCAGGGAAATCAGGGCACAGTGGGAAGCCTCAGCGGACCTCCAGGTTGCTAGGCAACATGCTCCCCTTCCCCAGCGCAGCTAGAGGAGAGCCAGGGTAGGCGCCATGCCTCTACCCACCCCAGGTGCCAGAGCTCATTAGCCCGCTCAGAGGTCCCTCTCAAAATGTCCAGGAAAAGGAACTGAGATTTCTTCTCAACCTTGACAGTGTGGGACCCAAAAGCCATCAAAGCCTTCTTCTGTACAGTATGCTTTCTTTTCCTTGATAAGAAGGTATCTCTCAATGTATCCTTGCCTGTCTTAGAACTCTGTAGACCAGGCTGGCTTCGAACTCACAGAGATCCGCTTGCCTCTACTTTCCAAGTGTCGGGGTTAAAGGTGTGTGCTACTACATCTGGCTTTTGCAGGCATAAGTACGCACTGAAATTAAGCCGTCTACAGGTAAGTAAGGGACAACACACTGATGCCTACTTAAGTTTCTCCTAGCTGCAGGCACTTTTGGCTTACAGCTGAGCATCTCAAGTCACTGCATCTCTTTGTGTCCGTTCTCCCCCACCTTCCTCTTAGAGTCATACTGTGGTGATAACTCAAACATTTCTGCCCATCATAGATTCTTAACTTAGTTATATCTGCTACATGGATGCCAAGAGATGGGGAGACCAGGTCTTTGAGGATCATTATTCCTCATACTGCCCTAGCCACTGTCTTCATTGCCCTTCTCTTCCTCCTCCTCTCTTTCTTCATAAGACTTATTTATTTTTATTTTATGTATGTGTGTTGTGTGGCAGACTTTTTCTGCAGAGATGCAACACACACTATTCCCCAGATGGGGAGCCTACCACGACAGACCAATGCACACACACCACTAACATCCAACATGGTGAGCAGTGAGTTTTATTGGGGTTATTTACAGGAATTTGGGTAAAGGTTGCTTACAGGAGCAGACACGACTCCAAGACAGTTGCATCACCAAACTCAACACCAGCATGGGTGACAGCACACAAAAGCTGAAAACTCTGAGCACAGGGCGTTAGCCTGCAGGAAGCTCAGCAGGTTGAGAAGGGTCATTTCCAGATGGCTCAGCTGCACTAAACCTCTTCCAGGGAGCTCAGCTGGTGTCTCCTTCTTTTTAGGCTGCTTGCCTGGTCCCTGTTTCTCTTAGGCAGCTAAGCTTTTCTCTCTTTTTGCAACCTAGTTTGTCTGAACGTGATGCTGACAAATCTTTATTGGTTACTCTTGGGGGGAGGGGGCTAGTGAATCCAGTCAGTTTCAGGGACTCTCTGAAGCTATTTGAGTTGTTTACCTTCTGTATTAAGGAGCTACCTTAAAACGGAATGCTTCGTTCTAGGAGGAAGCTGCTACATGGCGATGTATTTTTCAGAATGTATGCATGTACACCATAAGCGTGTCTGATGTATGCAGACATCAGAAGATCTCTTGTAACTGGAGTTACAGGTGGTTGCGAGCCACCACGTGGATGCTAGGAACCAAACCTGGATTTTCTGCCAGAACAGTAAATGCTCTTAAATGTTGAGCCATCTATCCAATCCCAGCCTGTCCCCCAACTATTCTCTTTTAACAAAACTGACCAATGGATCATCACTGAGCTACCTGGCATGTTAAATCAGCTCACCATGACTGGGCACCACATGCCAGCCCAACATGACTGAACACACAGCCCCACTGTGAAATCCACCCATTCTGAAGTCATCTTGCATGGACCTGGGCATTCCAGAGAGTCTGAGATGTGTGGCTGCTTATTCAACCACTAGGAGCTCCCTCAAAACCTCTGCTTACCTCCACAAAAAGTAGGATGCTACAGACGAGGGTCCAGGACTGTAATAACTTTTCTTAGAATTGTATCTAAAGGCCAGGGAGATGAATCCTCAAGTGATAGCACTTCTTGGTAAGCCTAATGACCTGAGTTTGCTTCCCACATGGTAGAAGGTAAGAACTCGTCCTCACAGGTTGTTCTCTAACCTCCATGTGTACACAAACACAGAAAATAAATACGAATAATAAAGAAAAATATTAATTTTTTAAACCAGTAAATACAAGATGGTATAAAATATAAATCATTCAGAATTCTCCAGAGTCAGAAAAAAAGTTGGTTCTTATTCTGTTGCGATAGCATCATAGTTTTGTGTGTGAATGTGTGTGCCTGAGTTTGTGAATATGTGTGTATGTGTGTGAATGTATGCGCACGTGGGAATGAATGTGTGTGCCTGTGTGTGAATGTATGTGCACATGTGTGTGAATGTGCATGCCTGAGTTTGTGAATGTGTGTGCCTATGTATGTGTGAAAGTGTGTGCATGTGTGTGTGAATGTGTATACATACATGTGCCTGTGTGCCTGTGTGCCTGTGTATGTGAATGTGTATGCCTGAGTTTGTGAATGTGTGTGACTGTGTGTGTACCTGTATTGTGAGTCTGTGTGTGTGGGAATGTGTGCACCTGTGTGTGGAATGTGTGCATGTGTGCTTGAAGAATTCACATCAAGATTTCTTCCTCAATTGTTTCTCTACCTTATTTTGAGAGACGATTTTTCTCACTGAACCTGGAAACTTAACATTGTGACTGAACTAGCTGGCCAGTGAGCCCTCAGAACCCTCCTGTCTCTGCCTCCTAGCCTGGCTGTTTGTTTGTAGTCATAGATTTATTTATAACATGGATGCTGAGGGTGTGAACCCAGGGCCTCAGGACTTTACTCACTGCAGCCCCAGAAGTAGAGTTCTTACAAAATAAAAGAGGCCAGCTAGAAAAACAAGGAAAATGAAAGGGATCTGGGCAGGAACAGAGTCCCTTACTCAGAGTCTGCTGAAACCTCTGGCTAGCTGAACGTCCAATGTTCCAGCCCAGCTAGTATTTGCTGTGAAAACTGCTGCCCTAGAGACAGCATTTCTTTTATAGAGAGCTGTGTGGTTGTGATTTTTCAAGTAATAATGTTAAATTAACAGTGAACCATGCTTAAGACTAGTGGCCTTCAGTGTGGTCTTGCTCCACGTGGGTACTTTCTAGGAATCTCACACAAGACTGGTGTTTACAGTAAAAACATCCTAACTCCCCACACTCCTATGATCTAGGCTTTAACCTTATCAACAGTAATCCTGACCAGCGCCTGCTAGGAACCGCCCTGTGGTCTCCCTTCAGATGCTTAGCAACCCTTGGAGATAATTACTTCAAAACTCCTCAAAACCATAGATATGGCTATGGTGAAGGCAAGGAAGTCAACCTGCACTTAGTGTACTTAGGGAGTTATTCTTCCCCTGGGTGCCTCTCTTTCTATTAAGATGCCTTCAATAACTCCCAACTGTGCTTCATACTGGCCTGTCCGAAATTTCTTTCTGCAGTAAAGTCAAGGATCCAGCCTTAGAGATAACTTTGAGGTAGTTTGAGGCTAGCTTTCTTGCCAGTATATAAAGACATTTCCTCCATCTTTTTTGGATTATTTTATATTTTAAATTTACAGGTCCTGCTATGAATACCAGGTTGTCCTGAAACTTGCTCTATGTCAAGTAGTCTAGCCTCAAACTTACAGCAATCCTCCTGCCTCTGCCTTTGGGGTGCTGGGAGTGCTGAAATTCCAGATGTGCACCACCATGCCCAGTCTCCATCTTTTTAAGGCTCCAGAGCATCTTCCACAAGGATAGGCCGCCAGTGAGTACTCTGTCGATAATTTCAGTAGAAACTACTGTGGTGGGGTAGTGTAGCCGTACTGGCTTGTTCACGTTGCTCCAGGAGGCTAAAAAGGTTCTGCACCCTGATAAACTCTCTGCCAGCCCAGCAATCCAAATCAGACCAAATCAAACTGAATTAGAAGAAAGCCAGGTTTGATGAATAAAACACTCCAGGATGGTTTTCCAGCCCCCAAGAGAGGAGACAGGAAAGAGAGACTGGAAAACCACATCTGTTTCCTGGGGTGGGGGGCAGTTTAAATACCCTATGGGAGTGGTCTTGAGCATCTCTGGGGGAGGGGCCATCATTTGGTGGGCTTTCTGAGATGTAGCAGGGTTTGGAGAGAGATGGGGGATGGGGCTTGGGGTGGGCCTTCCACCAGAACATTCCAGACTCTTTGGGTATATGGGTGCCAGGGGCCTCGGGTAACGCTTCCACCAGAACAGACGCTTGAAGACATTCCGTCTCCTCCTCACACCATCCCAGACCTATTCCAAAGCAACCAAGCCTTGGGTGAAGGAAGTTGGGGCTTCCCTAGATCCTCAGAACTGACAGACCTTTGCTCTCTGGGGCTGAGTCTCCTAGAGGTGTGGAACCCTATTGTCTGCCAGAGGGAGAGAATATGTATTTGCAGAGAAGCTTCCAAGGCAAGCTCACAAACGTTTCTCCCAAGCCAGTACAGACATCCGAGAATATGTATTGCTTCCCGCATCAGAAAAGCCCAGGGACTGCATGGAATTTGAGTGTAGTTGGATCCAAAGATTCTCTTGGCTCAGACTTCATTCTTGTATTAAAAATAGCTAAAGTAGTCAGAGTCGTACATCTGGCCACACTATAGGGAAAAAAACATCTGACCTGGGACTTCCACCGAATTCCTGTGATATGTCATGAGTGCTCAGGTTAAGAGCTTGTGCCCACATCTAGATCAATGGCTGCCAGGGAGGCTGGAAAGTCCTGAGGGACTGGGTTCAAGCCAACCTGAATCTGGAGTTGAGGAGTAAACAGCTTTCTCAAAGTTAATGGAATTTTCCTGGCTTGTTGGGAAAGGGCAGGTAGGGGCCTTTGTGTGGTGGATGGGTATGTGGGCTCAAGAAGAACCAAGCAGAAGCTCTGGACCATGAAACTTGAATGCCCCGGGTGCTACAGGGGCAGAGAGAGCCTGAGTCCAGCCCTGTGTACACTGTCTCCCCAAAGCTCTATGAATATCACAATATGATAATGTGTCTTTAGAATAAATTCCTGCACATAGAGTCATTGGGTCAAAGGGCTTACACATTGCCAGTTTGTAAGAGATATTGCTAACTGTAATGTCTGGAAGTGTCTTTTCTCTCCCAAAAGTATTTCATTTTGTAAATACTCTTCATCATTTTCATATTTGGTGCCCTCACAGATCTGACCTGGCTTTTTGAAGTTACAAGGGCTAGTGTTTCTTCATGTACTCATCGGCCGGCCAATTGTAAATCTTCTAGGAGTTGCTTGCCCCACCCTTTGTTCTCATCGCGCAGTGGTTTGTTTATCTTTTCCCTTTCTTGTTGACTTGTGAAAACTCCTTGTAGCTCCTGGATACAAACCATTTGTTTCATCTGTCACAGACATTTCTCCCAGCTTGTCCCTTGTGTTTTAATTTTGTAGAGACATAGAGCTTTGGTTGCCTAAACTGGGCCAACTTCATGCATTTAAATATGTCAGAGTTTCGTGGGTTTCTGCTTAGAAAGGTCTTATCTTTCCTGCTCTAAGATAAAATATAAGATGAGCCAGGTGGTAGTGGCATATGCCTTTAATCCCAGCGCTTCGGGAGGCAGGAGGATCTCCGAGTTTGAGGTCACCCTGATCTACAGAGTGAGTTTCAGGTTAGCCAAGGCTACACAGAAAACCTGTCTTGAAAAACCAACAACAATAAAAAAGAATGATAATAATAATGTACATCATGTCCTCTGGTTTTGTTCGTGTTTTTACATTCAAGCACCGTCTCTCTCTAAGAGGTACTGCTCTGCAGTTGGAGGCTGAGATGACTGGCTGGTGGGCAGGACAGGAGAACTTTCTGAATTGCCGAACCTCTGTGGCTTTCCCCCATCTAACCAGAGGGATTGGGAGGGAAGCCAGTGTCTCTTTACATTCAGGGATAGCCAGAAAAGGAACTCAGTGGGAACAGGATGCCGCCTTCTGATGTTGGTACCCCAGAGAAAGAGACAGGCTGAGCCCTGCAACAAAGAAGAAAGGATGGTGGGGAAAGCCATCCTGTTTGAGGAAGAATCCTGACAGGGATGTGGGGGAGTCCAGCCAAAGGACACCTGGACACCGGGGAACATTGTTTTCCCCATCTAACAGGGTGGCTTCATTAGCATACATGTGTTCCTTTCACAGGATTTTCGAGCAACTACTCTGAGGCCAGGAAAGGACCACCTTATCCTGTCCCAGTGATAGAGGACATCAGCCATGACACAGAGACAGCAGGAGAATCTGCCTGCTGCAGAAGGCAGGAGGCCATCGGCTTACAAAGATTACCCTCAGATGTCAGACTTAACATCTTCTTCAGCTCTGAAGAAGTGATTCTGGACCCTAAAGAAGTGAGTGCATCTCAAGGCCCCTAACCAAACCCCACAGCAGGGACGGGATGTGCCGGGCTCACAAGGCAGCTGGCCTTAGCTGCTTCAACAGGGCAACAGAGTGCGTGGACCTGCTCTCACACGTCCGTGTCCTTGAGCATGTACCTTGGTGTGGTAGGTACTCAACAAGAGCTACATGAATGCATGGGTCACGCATCTGGGAAGCAGGGCTGTCCTTATCATGTCTAGATGGGATCACATAGGCAGCCCCTCCCATCTGCTTCCTAGGAGTTTGCTGAGAGTCAAAAGGCCTTGAGAACAGGTTGGCTAAGAAATGGGCCACTACCATGTCTCTCTCTGGCCCTTGATGGGTAACTTCCAATGAACAGCACCCCCACCCTCAGAAGCTCCAGCAATGACAAGCCCTGCGGTCACCCATTGCCTGGCCTTCCTGACCCCATTCCTGCTGACTCACTGCAGTCTGGCTGATCCCAGCTTCCTGCAGCAGGCCAGCGGGGCGCGGATGGGGGGGGGGCAGAGGGGAGGGGGTGCGTAGCACAGGAGGCAGCATCCTGAGCTCTGTCAGGAGAGAGAGAGGAACCTTCCTGTTTTCTGCTACTTTGCAGGGGTGATCAGGAAGTGGACTTTCTGGAGGTCAGAGTGGACTTTGTCTCCATCCATCCCTGACTCGAATGGATCCTCACCACCTTCCACTCTGAGAACCGGGTCCCTCCAGCCCCTACTCCCGGTGCTGAGTCAAGGTCCACTTCACAGCTGGCCTTATCATTCCCTATGATCCCCGCTGGAATCGGCTAGTTGGATCTCCTGGGACTGCACTGGCGTGTTACCATGTGCTGAGTGTGATTGTGGTTGGGTGCTGTGGTGCCAGGCCATGTGTGACTCAGAATCACTGTGTAATTGTGTGAAGCTGGGTCTGATTACGCCCAGGAGAAATGGTTGATTGTACATGGTTCCATCTCACTGTGTGATTTGTGAGATTGTATGCTACAGCCCGTGAATACTTGTCTGTGGTTACGTGTGTTCCAAGTGGCTGTGTGGCTGAGTACAGTATGTGATGGATGTGTCTATAAGTAGCCGTGTGTAGGTGGGTGGGGCTTCATGCCATCCCAAGGCCCAGACCCGAAGAGATCACTGTCTGCAGTCTGTATACTGTGGTAGGGAAGAGGAGGTAAAGAGCGTGTGTGTGTGGTGGGGGGGGGATGCTCTTCCCCTGGGTCACTGACCATTTTTAGAGTGTTTTCTCGGAAGTCAGACTGTGCTTCGGAGGAATGCCAGCCCATCTGAGCTCTCACAGCAACTGGCCCCTGGGCTCACAATGTCTCATTATAGCCCTCATCCGGCCGGGCCCAGGCTGCTTTCCAGCCCAGCAGAGACACACAGCCCTTATCTCTCAGTCTGGCCACCTCTCTCCATTCTTCCCATACCTATTCTGGCTGCAGAAGAAACATAGGCACCTCGTTTCCCCACTTCCCAACCCTGAAGACAGACTTTCCAAGAGCTGACCGCTAGCTCTTTCAGGGATGACAAAAGCCTTCCCCGCAATGGATTTGCGATGCTTCCCATGTTTGCACGGTAAGATTCCTGACTTCGGGGTTGTGGCACTGGGACCTTTATCCTCCACTTTTCTACCTCAGAGCTCCAAGTCTGGTCAACTCCCTCCTCTGTACAGGTGAGCCACAACCACAGCTCCATGCAACCCCCACCACTCCTTCCTACAGCTAAGGGGTCCTCTGCTCCTCTGAGGAGACTCCTGGGACTGTGACCTTGCCCAGAAATGACAGGATTTACTCTCTGTTTTATTTTCTGAAGCCCTCAGCTGTCCAGGCACGCAAGCCTCCCACTGCTTCTGTCCCTGCTAGGAGAGAATCCTTGCAGTCACTATTGATGCTGGACACATTGTGAGCGAGCATAGGGTGACCAGGTGACTGCAGTACTTTGAGGAGATGAAGGGCGGGAAAGAAGAAACCCGGGGTCAGGAGTCCGAGTTCTCAGTGTGAAGGACTGGACTGGAGCCGGGGCAGGCCTGTCCTGCCAACACCAGTGAACAGCGGACAGGTGAGGGCCCCTAGAGAAAGGAGCTCCCAGACTAGCAGCATCCTCACCCACCATGCCAAAGCTGTGTGAGTGGGGAAGGCTCATTCCCTCCCCCGGCTTAAGTTTCGTCACCTTAAAGACTGAAAAAAAGATGGTTGAAGTGAATGAAATCTATAAACAGCTCAATGACTTCCACTTGCAACCTGAAGACAACTTTGGCTCCCAGTCCAAGTTTCCCAGCTAGCTCAGTCTACATCTCTGAAAGTGTTAGCCTTTTCTTCCCCCTTCAACAGAGTCCATTGAGACTACTTAGAAGGGATGGAGAAATAGCTGAGCAAGAAGAATTGAAGAAAGCCTGTGTGGGTGTGTGTGTGTGTGAGGGTAAACATGACCACCGGGGCTATGGAGTAGGGTCTTAGGCACTGGAATCTTCCAGACTTTCCCCACACCTCCTCCTTCCAGCCTTGCCATCTAAATTATGCTCTTGTCCCAGCCTATGCCTATCCCCTACCCCCCACTGCCTTCCAACCTCCTCAGATCCCCGGGGGGTTGCAGTCCTGGACTTCGTTAAACCACCTGGCAAGCATTCTAGTTCAACACGCATGGACTATCTGAACGATACCAGTGTCCTCCCCACGGGAAGGTCAACAGAGAGGCTGGGAAAATGATCAAGACACCACTAGCCTCACCTTCCAGAAACAGTCAGTTTACAATAGCAAGAACGTCTGTTGACCACCCTGGTCAGTGCCGCGTGACAAATCCCACTGACCCCAACATCCAGAAAAGTAGTAGAAAAGGCAGAGATGGGTTGGTGGACATGATCAGACAGAGCAGGGCCTGAGGACCCACTATCGGCCAGTATTCCAAAACAGGCCAAAGAAACGACAGCTGCTCCTCATTGCCTTCTATGTCATTCCTGTGCTGGGTGCAGGGGCATCCTTCCATCTCACACCTAGGCCCCTAAGAGTCCTGTGGAACAAAGGTCGGATGGCTAAGAGACAGGTTTAAGCTGCTTTCCATTATCTTGCATTCTCACATTGGTGTCTTCCCATGACGGCTCCCCCTCTGTGCGGCAGGACCCGTGTCTCAGTTATAGCCAAGGAAAAGGTGGAAAAGCCACTGCCATCACTATATTATCAAAGTCCTAGCCTTGCTAGTGGCCAGGCGTCGGAGACCCACTCTGAAGACATCAACAACAGGGCGTTATCAAAGTCTCAGTCTTGCTAGCGGCCAGGCACTGGAGACCCACTCTGAAGACATCAACAACAGGGACCTAAGAAAGGCTTATAGAGAAGTCCTCCTGGAAAGGAACCGTTGGGAGTTAGGAACCGCTGTTGGCTAGCAAGGAGACTAGCCACAGTTCTATAGCCAGAAGGAATGCTCCTGATCCTGTAAGCGGGTTCATCTCCATTTGAATCCTCAGATTAAGATGTGCCCTTGACTTGATTCCATCTTGATTACATCCAGCTAAGAGTATCCTATTAAGCCATGTCTGGACTTCTGGTCCATAGAAACCGTGGGACAAATATATGCTGTTCCTAGTCCCCAAGTTTATGAGCAATCACTATAAAACAACAGGACATGAATATCAGTCTGTAATCTGTCTTTTCAGATGAGAACCCTAACGCTCAGAGACTTTGGTAAGAGTCCTGCCCTTAATTTGAGGTTCAGCAGAGATCAGAGTCTGCCCTGGCTACATATGTTGATGTGCTTGACAGACAAACAGACCATTGTTATTCAGCAGTCACTTAGATAATCCGTGACCTGCATGGCCATGGATTAACATCTTCCCAACAAGTGTTGCGTATCATCAGTGTGCCCAGTCAAGGAGAAATAGCGGTGAGCTACGGGAGACACACGCCAGTGTCTAGATGGCAAAGAGCTCAGTGCAGAATGTGGACAATGGGCAGGGTTCTTATGATGACGCTCGTAAAATACAAGTGGATGGGATGAAATGGAAGCATCCTTGGCCCAGGGCCAGGGACAGACTCCCTAGAGAAGTGATACCCAGTTCTTTGGAAGGTGGACCTGCTAGGGAGCCAACCTCTCTACATTTTGTATAAGTGAGTAGGTAAATGAATAAGCTTTTCTGGTCAAAGATCCCCAGAGAAAAGGAATCTCCCTGCAATGTGAGAGCACCCTGCTTCTAAGATGCATGTTCCAAGGATCCCAGACCCTGTGACTAACTAGTGATGCTCAAAGACATTAGGGTTCACTGAATACCACTTCTGCATGCATCACAGGTGGCTACAGCTGTCAGGGACCTGTGTAGCTGGGTTCTTATTTTCCAGACATCTAGTGGCAGGGTGGGACAACAGGTGAAGGGAAGTATGGGGGAAAGTGGGGGGATGAATCAGGGGCTGATGAACCAAAGCAAAGGGCAGGCATTAGAAGAGAGAGACCTCCATGTGCCAAGTTTCGGCCTATGGTGACTCAGCAGCTCCGGAGGTCTTTGCCAATGAGCTGGTTGGCTAGTATGGATCAGGCAGGTTCCTACCAGGAAGCAGACAGCACACGCAAATTGGCCATTTGAAGATCATTCCATAAAGAGACTATTGTTAGAGGTCTTGGCGGATATACAAAAGATCAGAAGAACCTTGACCAAGATCGGCAACCCATCCCACTGTCTCACCAAGCAACAGAGGTTATCAGAGCAGCGGGGAGCTTGAAAGGAGCGGACCGAGCACCGGGCAGGACTGTGCCTCCACTCGGGCGGACAGCCAGGTTGTGGCATCCTGAAGGAGGTGCCCTGTGTCCTGCCCTTGCCTGGCTTTCTGCCTCCAACAGGCTGAGAGTGCACCCAGGGGTCAGAACAGAGCAAGGCACCTGCTGGCACAGCACCCTCAGGGCAGCCTTCTGTGGAAAGGAGCAGAGCAATGTTGGAGGCAGACTGTGGTGAAGTATTTGTCCAGCACTACCAGAGGGAAAATTTTTTTTTTCTTTTTGGATGTTCTTTTCATGCTCCAGCTCAGAGGTTCTCAACCTGTGGGTCTCAACCCCTTTAGCAAATCTCTATCTCTAAAAATATTTACATTACTATTACTATTCAGAGCAGTAGTGAAATTACAGTTCTGAAATAGCAACAAAAATAATTTTATGGTTGGGGGTCACCACAACATAGGAAGGTTGAGAACCACTGCTCTAGATGGTGGACACCGGTACACAAGACCCTGTTGTAGGAGCCCATGAAAGCCCACTTAGGATTAAGAGATTTCCTAACAAATTCTAAAATGACCTTAAACACCTCTCGGCCACTTTGAGCTATATTGTTATGTGAAGAGGCATTCTCAGTATTGACAAAATATTGGTCAACTCTGAAAAACATTCAAGATGCCTCATGTCCTGAAAGGTCAAATATTAAGTCAACATTTACATTTTTATGTAAAAAACAAACAGATACAGATATCTCGTTAATATGAAAACTTTCTTTTTATCTCCAGTAAGTGGTAAAATTGTATGTATACAAAATTATTTTTAAACTAAACGTATTTGTGGTTTATTGCAGAAAAAGAAGAAAGAGGAAGAGAATGGAGATGAGGAGGAGGAGAAGAAAGAGGAAGAAGGACCCACTTTTAACTTTGTCCTCAGTTAAGGATGCCGGACAACCCACCCAACTTTCTCAGGCCTCAGTTTCCTACTCTGTTAAAGAAATGGTGAGTGTCCTTCAGGTTTTGCTTTCCACATTTGAAATGAGTTCATGTACTTAAGCATCCCTGATGGGCCTTGGAATGCATAGGGCTGAGTTCAAGCATTTGTTAAGAGCATCAGGAAAGCAAGATCTGGACCACTGAGAAGCCAGATGCCAGCCACAGAAGCTAAGCAAGAGAACCAACCACGTACAAATGACAGCCTGGCTCAGATGCTGCCCGAGGCCCTCTCTCCACATGTGTGCCCAGGCCTGAGGCTACAGAAGAAGGGTGCTTCGTCTCCTGGCCCCTCAGAGAACAGCATGATGCCCAGAAACCCAGGGCTGGCCCTTAGGGGAGGTGTGAATTGGATGAAGGAATAGAGACCAGCATGGGTTCAGCTATAAAGACCTTTGGCAGTAGATAACCCCTCTTGAGTTCCCATACTCCTGCATCTTAGGCTCGGTTTGTGTAAATAAGGAGCTCACGGCCTCATGGGTACCTGAGGCCGCTGGACAGCTGATTATTAGAAAGTCACAGCCTGCCCCGATACCAGATAAGCTAGGATCTCCAATGCAGAGGTTTGACACCCTCGGTGTCTCACCAGACCTGATTCACCTCTAACCTTCCAGTGCCCAAAATAAAGGCCCCTCTGTGAGACGTGAGACCCATAGACCTCTTCTCTTTGCTGCTTATCGCCCACATCAGAGTTCACAGGAAGAGGGTTTCAAAACCTCAGAGTCAGAACTGCACGGAGGTAGCGGTTTTTTGTTTTTTGGTTTTTGGTTTTTTTTTTTTCAAGAGAAAGGAAACCAGAAAGGCGGGAAGAGGTGCAAGGTACAGCAGATTACGGCCCTAGCTGTGGAGGGAAGGGCTTGCCCAAACGGTGCGAGCACCAGAGGGATAGAAACCTTCTCCCCCAGCCTACTTGCCCAGGGGCAGACAGGTCAAGGGATATATGTGTGTGCTGGGGAGCTGCTCTCAGTGATTTGAAAGACATTTGATGAGACCTGCCCTGCAGAGTAACTAGTACCCTGCCCTTATCTGCTGTCCTCTCTGCCTAGAGAAACTGAGGACTTGAAGCCAATGGGTCCAACCTCCCTGTCCCTGTACTGCTCAGGTACAGAGCCCTGGTCTCATTTCTGAACCTGTCCTCCTTGGGCTTGCCGCATGGCTATGCGGCCTCTGAGCGGGGGTCTTCTATGGAGAGTCATCTCGGCTCTTTGCATTCTAGAGTTGAAAATGGGAAACTTTCCGTTTCCCCGGTCTCCGACAAGGCTGTGATGAAATATTTTGAGTGACTTGCAAGATGATTATCTACCACGCTGATGTGGGGGTGAACTCGAGGGTGTTTGTCTTACTGTCTGTATTTTCCGTTGATTGCCTTTGTATTTGTTTTATCTTACTGTGTCGAGCGAATCCTTCTTTTTAAACGCCTTTTGGAAGTTGTGGGGTATCTCAAATACTCGAAAATGACAGGAAATATTCTTACCCGCTATCTAGCTCTTTTAATTCCTCCTTCTCCCCCTCCTCTTCTCCCCCTCCGCCCCCCACTTTTCACCTCTCTCTGTACAATCTCATGTGTTTCAGACTCGCTTCAATCTTAATGACTGCTGCTGTCTTGCGTTCTTAACAAAACTAGGATTGCTCTACAATACTGCTCTTCAACTTGACATTTTCTCGCAGTTTGTCAGTGTTTTTGACATCTCTCCATTTGAATATTATAGTAAATATACAACAGTCTCCTAAACATCTGCCCGGGGTTCCATTTTATTTAATGACTCCATGGGCAGGTACTTAGGTGGTTTCCAGTCAGTGTGCTATTCTAAACAGGCCCGCAGAGCACTTTTACCATGTCCTTCTGTTGGCTTCTGGGATTCTGCTTGCTGTGGAACACATACCCAGAAGTGGAGCTTCTGGAGAAAAGTATACTGAACATTTGCCATCTTGAAATAATTGCCAGTCTTGCCTTCTAAAAATGACCAACTTGGACACCTACCTAGAGCACAGGGCAGTTTTTTCCTCCCCGCTCCTTCAAGATCTTGTTCCATTGCTGGCCTTTTGTTTGTCTTCTGTGAACTGTATGTCCCTACTCTTTCCCCCTAGAATCTTACATTTTCCTTTATCTCTTGACTTTTTTTACATTTGAATCTTGGGTCCATCAAGAATCAATTCTAGATTCTGAGGGGCCAGGTATTCTTTTCAACGAACACGTATTAATGTGTCCTGCTCTGTCCATAAATCTGTAAATAGTCACCGAAGTGATTAATTTGGGGAGATATTAAGAAGGGAACTGGTAAAGCCAGAGTCACAAGGGAAGCTCGCTGAGGGGTAGAAGAGTCAGAGCTGAGGCATCAGTGAGATGGTATCTCCTCCCTGAGGAGATTATGATGCTATAGCTGGAGAAAGTCTGGCCTGGACCAAGGTCAAAGGCAGCACAGCAAATGGGAAGTGGTGGCTTCTTCTGAGCACATGACTTGTCCCTAATATGGAAATAATAACAGTGCCATTTACTACACAGCTGCCAGAAGAGTGCGGATAATGGCTATGTCTGTTCACCAACAGAGAATGTGTGGAGCAAGGCTTGCGATGTGTAACAGATAAGGTGGTTAGTACATGAGGCATATGATAGATTAGTGGAGACGCTAAGGAGAAGTAAATGGAAGTTGGGAGGTACTAGAGGAGAGCAGTCAGTTTTAGGTAGGGCGTTCATCTGAGTAGGATGAATCAAGATTCCCAGAGGACTCTGGGGTTTCTATATTCTAGAATAGCTCCCCTTTAGAAAAAGAATATTTTTTAAAAAAAAACGTATACTTGCAAATTTTGTGAAGAGATGTTACAGTCTGAAGAAATCTCCATTACAAGGGACCAGTGTCAGCTGGTGTCTTCCAGTGCAGGCTCCAGGGTCCCTTTGTGAGCAATAGCGCTATGGGAAGTAGACGGTAGGTGTGTGTCAGTAAGAACCTATTTGTGTGATGTAGAGCAAGAGGCCATTATGCCAATCCTCAGTTTCCTGATTTGTAAACGAGAACAATATCACATTCTTATGTTTTTAAGGTGTGAATAAAGACATAGAAGTAAAACGTTTGGCTGACCCTTAGGAATAAATGATATCTGTTTTTATTCCTATCCCACACAGAAGGAGAATCACAAGTCTCAACGTCAGGACTAGAAAGAACTAATATCCAAAGAGAATGACAGGCAAGCCCCACATGGCCTGTAACTGCTGGGCTTAGTGGCGCCAGATAGATACACTGTCTTTGGCTTTTGACCTGTGGAATCGGTCTGCATCAATGACCCTCATGTGCTCCAAAGCAGAACCTTGGGGAGCCCAAAAATCCCTTCAAGATGCAGCCGCTTCTCTGCACCGATGCTTGAAGGCAACCAGTAAGAACAGCAGAGGTCGCAGTCTCCAGCAGGCCTGGATTCAATTCCTGCTCTGCTAGTGACAGCCTGGGACTGCAACCAAGGATCCCGCTGATGGAGCTGCTGTTACTTCCCTTGCAGCCTGACAGATCAATAGCCTGATCAGTGTTGCCCAAGGGGGCTCGGAAAGTGCAATCAGGTAGCTTGCAGGGTGCTACAGAGAAGGAAGAAGTCAACACACACTCCAGGGGATTCCAGAAAAAAAAAAAAAAAAAGGAAACAATGTTTTGAGAATCTTGAGGACTGGGTGACTCTAAAAGTCTCCCCAGGCCTTGGCTGTGTGGCTATTGGGGAAAATTCTCGCAGGCGTCTAACAAAGCATGTGTGGCCGGTGGTGGCTGCCGGTGACGTTCAATGACCTAAAGTAAATAAACCAGTAATCAGAGGGTGCTCTTGCTTGGCTGCTGCGGGCTTGCTTGCCCACGAGTCATAATAATTTGTTGGGATAATACATCGGCCGTTAGCCCTCAAAGTCCTGTTACTAAGAGGTTAGGAGACAGATGATCTTCCCAAAAAGAAAAACCACTACAGGATGTTCCAGATTGGAGCCACGGTAGCAGCCCAAACAGCATGGACTTGTGTTGTTGATAAACTCTTATAAAAGAGTTTGGGCATGGAGTAACTGGGAAGTAGCCCAACTCTACACATCACAGGCTTGCCAGTAGAATATTATAAACTCAGCTTGGCGGTAGGATGATATAATACCTTCATTATTTCAAAGGTTCTTAAATTAACCAAGGTGCATCTTTCGGAGGTCCATTGTTTTGCGTGTATTTATGACCATCTCGAGGCCACATTTGGTTTCAGGAGTGACTAAGTCTACCAAGCTGTAACCACCCTTGCTTGGCCCTGGGCCTGTTTGTGATAATTCAGTGACTTCACACAGCCATTCCCAGCCACCTCCGTTATGGCTTCGTTACTGGAGCAACAGGAACCAGTCAACCAACAGAATCCAGGTTAGAGCAGAACAGAAGGAAGTCGGCAAACAGGACTCTTGCCGGGGCAGGCAGTCACGTGACGCCAGCCTACCACACTTTGCGCATGCGGTTTTCCTGGGAAGACACAGTCATTCTTCTGCTTTCCGCCTCACCGAAGGAAGCCTTTTAGGTCGCCCCTAAGTGGTCTCAGTCACTGACTAGAGGAAAGGAGCTGTCCCCTTTTACGCTGGCCTCTCTCTTGAATTGGCACCCCAGCAGCACGATGCCAGCCTTGGACTTGCTGAGTTCTCCCAGCCTCCGCACCACCCCACTGTCTGCCACGGTTGCTCTGCTAGCTTTCTGGCTAGGTCCCTGGCTGCAGAGACCTCATGTGCCGTTTCCATCTTGTAGTTGACACAGAACACCCACAGTCTTCTCTCTTCTCGCAGGGGTGGGGCTCAGAGCTGGGGAGAGAGACCAGAGTCTAAGTCACCCGACAGTAAGTCAGGAGACCGGCTCATGTCACCTCGCCTTAGGTCCCAGTCTTGGCTGTTTGAGAGCGCCAAGCACCTTGTGATGTGTGACACTGGACAGTCCGATGTTGCAATGCTTCCTAGGCAAGGGTCAGAGTTTCCATAGACTGACCCTGGTGACCTTCAGTCACTGTGTGAGACACGGAGGAGGGGGCAAGGCTGTGGGAACGCTATCCTCCTACCTTCTTCCCAGGGTAGGGGCAGGAGGGCACATGCCAAGCAGGCTTAGAATTTATCTGGGCCGGGGACTGGACAGAGTGTTTCACCTGCTGTGCGGTTTCTTACTTCCCTTTTGGGGCCGTCTGGGAGGAATGCTTGACATTAGTTATAGTGGTTAGGAGGCTGTGTGGGGAACACTCAACAAACGCCAGCAGCCATCGCCAGCCCAGCCATGGGATGGTCATTCTTACCCCTCCATCCTCATCTGGATCTGCCAAGTGGTCTACATGTGTGCAGAAGGCTGGTGCTACTGCAGGGGCATTATAACCCTGGTGGTGACAGGACGGTGCCATGCATGAGGCGCTTCTGGTAACAGAGACATTTCCCAAGGTTCCCGATCCCTAGTTTTCAGAAGCAGGCCTGGAAGGATGAAGAAGCTGCTTTGTGGCTTGCTATGCTTGGCCAAACACATGTGCATCCAAGCGGCTGGCCAAGGCTGGAATTCCCCGCGAGCAGCCTGCCCAGGCTCACTCCTCGGGCCCAGGCCTGCAAGTCTTAAATTAGGCTGCCAGCTTTCCCCCTCCCCCACCCTTATCAATTCCTCCTCTGGGCTCCTCCCAGATGTCTCAACTTTTGCCACTGAGGGTCTTAAAACCTCAGCCCAGAGGACACCTCTAAAGTGGGGGGAGACTACTGGGAAGGGAGGGTGGGGCTAAAGGCTGAGGCTATTAATTCTTCCAAGGCCAATTGGCTCCTGTCTCCAACATAGTGGCTCCACTCATCCCCAGGGCCAGGACACTGTTTCTGCAGAGTCATCCTTTCTTGTCCAGAGGGATCCTGGCCCAAAGCCACATTCCTGGTGGGGTCTGAATGCCTCAGGGAACGGAAGCATCCTCTCTCACCCACCCTCAGCACTGCAGTCCCGGGACAAGCTGGTTTCTCAGTAACCTCTGCTGGCTGGAAGCAGATCATTCACCTCCAACTTTGTCTCTGTTCTGCAGCACCTGGTACTCTGGGACCCAGCTCTCCCGTGGAGGGAGGGAGTAAAGGCAGTGTTCGGAGTAGGGAGGAGAGGCTGAGCTATAGGGAGCAGGTCCCAGGGAGATGGGGACACTTTACAATTTTACCAGGGTGAAGGTGGATGGGCAGCGCATGGCTTAGCGGTAAGACGGGTAAGAAGAGCACTTGCCGCCAAACCTAACAACCTGAGCTTCATCCTGGGAACCCACATGGGAGAAAGAGAGAACTGACTCGCAAGAGCTGTCCACTGATCTCCCCACGTGTGTCACGGCATACACATGTGCACGCACATGCATACATAAACGTAATTTAAAGAAATAGAATAAAAACCTTGGCTGGGGCTGGGAGATATCTTGGTTCATAAAGTGTTTGCTGTCCAAATACGAGGACCTGAGTTCAGATTCCCAACACCCATGTACTAAAAGGTGTGATGGTGTCTACCTGTGTCCCTAGAAGTGAGGAGGCAGAGACAGGAGGATCCCTGGAGGTCAAATCAGCGCTCTTGTGGCCCAGTGAGAGACTGCCTCCAACAATAAAGTAGAGAGTGCTGGAGGAAGACATGGTCCTAGACATCTGGCTTCCACACACAGGGTCATACATGTGTGCATGCATTCCCTTGTACATGAACACACATACCATACACACCCTACACATACCAAAAACAAACAAAACCAGCCCTGACTTTCCTCTGGGTCCTGCCTGTGGGGTTGGGAACCGCACCAGGAAAGAGTCTAGCTCCCTCACAACAGCCGTGTAGCTATCCTTGTCCCTAGACCCAGACGGACCTCCAACCCAACAACAGCCAGCATCCCTTTTCTGAGCGAGATGTGTCTCAATCAGTAATGGAGACACATGAGAAAGCACCCGAGGAACCTGTCTAGGGTACCCACAGTGTGCCAAGCCCTGTACCACCCTGCAGCAGTAGGCAGGATGGATGTGTCCAGCCTCGGCTACCTCTCCCATCCTTTCCAGTGTTACCACCCTAGCTGCCTCCTTTCAATCTCTCATCCCAGGTTTTCTAACTATGTAACACTGAGCAAGGTGTTTTAGTGCCCTGGACCCTGTTGCCTCTTCCATAAAATGGGTGTAAGGATCCCTACCACATAGACATTGAAACAGAGGCATAGTATGAGAGAAATCTTAGTGCATATCCATAGCGTGAGCTCTCTCTCTCTCTCTCTCTCTCTCTCTCTCTCTCTCTCT